TTTTGTAGTTGAACCTTGATTGCTCTTGGTATGTCAGTGGGAGGGATGTACCCCTAGGCTGATCAGCTGCAAGGACTGTCTGCAACCACCAACTACTGTGGGGGATCAGCTGTGCAGAGGCCCACCCCACAGAGCAGGACTTACTTCAGCTGGACTCTGGTGCCCGCTGAGTCTGCCCCTTGAGTGTGTCACTTGTGGAGGTGGCTGGGTGGTGGGGCTTAGACGTGGTGGGAGCTGTTCAGTTGGTGCACTGGCTCTGGGACCTTCTGAGAGGTGCAGGCCAAAGTCAGCCTTTGCATGTGCTCTGCCCATGGCCACCTGTTGTGAGCTACAAAGTGATCTGCAGATGGCTGCTACTTGTACAGGGCTTGGAGGTGGCTGGGAGAGGCCAAGCTTCTGAACCAAGGCTGGCTACTGCTAGTGCTTGGTTTGGGGCCACTTAGTGAGAGGTACAGGACATGCTGAGGCCAAACGCTGCTTGTTTGTGAGATTTTAGGAAAATCTGAAGAGCGAACCAAGATGAGTCATTCATATAAAAAAGCCACTGGAAACAACTTGGGTGGGCCTGAAAGTTGGATGGGGTAGGGCCACAAAGAATCACCAGGCTGAGGCAAACAGTGTGAGTCAGTTTGATGGAGTCTCCAATATGGTGGTGCCTGCTGGCCCTGTGGGGGGAAGGCTCATCAAAGAAACAAAGGCCTCTGCCAGCACTTCTGTCTGGGAGAAGGCGGCCCCTCTACCTCTCACCCTGATGCCGAACAATTCAGTACCTCCCCATATGTGTCTGGTGTCTTTCAAGCTGCTGCCCCAGTGCTGGAGCTCATAGTGACTGTGTGTGCACCCTGTAACAGGAACCACCTGGGACTCCAGAAGCCCTCCATCTCCTTTAACCTCAGTCCCCAGAAGTTATAGGGACTTATGTTCCTGGCACTGGAAGCCTGGGCTGGGAGCCTGGTGTAGGACTGGGAGCCCTCCCTCCTCAGAGGGTTCCTGTGCTGCTGAAATATCCCTCCCAGTTTTGGTCCCCCCACACATGGGTTTGGGACCAGCATGTCTGCATGTGTATCCCTCCTCCCAGTCTCCCCATGGCTTCCTTAATTTCCTTGTCTTAAGACTTCCATTGAGCCAGATTTCAGGTGGCTCTGAATGATGGCTGTTGTATAGTTTAGCTGTAATTTCACATGGTTGTGGGAGGAGGCATTTACCTATACTGCCATGTTGACCAGAAGTCCTTTGGTTACATTATTTATTTCTCTATTTTTATTTTTAAAAATTTATTTATTGCCCTGGTGTGGTTCAGATGATTGGAGCATTGTCCTGTATGCCAGAAGGTCATAGGTTTGATTCCTGGTCAGGGCACATAACTAGGTTGCAGACTCAATCCCCAGTCAGGGCGCATATGGGAGGCAACGGATCCATGTTTCTCTTGCACACTATGTTTCCTTCTCTCTCTCTCTCTCTCTCTCTCTCTCTCTCTCTTCCTCCCTTCCCCCCTCTCTAAAATCATTACATACATACTTTTTAAAAAATTATGTATTGATTTCAGAGAGAGAGAGAGAGAGAGAGAGAGAGAGAGAGAAACACCAACCTGTCATTCCACTTATCCATGCATTCATTGGTTGACTCCATATGTGCCTGATTGGGGATCAAACCCACAATACAACCTTGGCACACTGGGAACAAGGCTCCAACCAACTGAACTTCCTGGCCAAGGCTGGTTAGGTTTTTTGGTTCTATCCTTGTTCAAGGGAGGGACACAAGTAAATTGCAGGCTCTCCTTTTCCTGTAAGTGGCTTTTCTTTGAAAGGTGCTATTTTAATTTTCTCCTCAATAAGCTCTTTAGGTTCTGTGACATTTTTAGATAGTTCTTCTAATTGGAATGCATTTGGAGGGAGAGGAGGAGGAGGTAAAGAGGGAAGATCTGGATAAGGATGGACAGAAAAGCAGTGGACAAAGGGGCACAGGGGAGGGCTGAGAAAGGGTTTGAAGGTCATTGGCTTCAAAAGCCTTTAAAGTTCCAAGACAGTCTCTAATGCTTTCTTATTTACTTCCTATATTGAGATAATTTCTTATTTCTTCCCTTGAAGCTTTGAGAGACCAATCAAAATATACTTCTCATATTTGCTCTTGTAGGTGGAGCCTGTGTACGTACGCATTGTACCTGAACCCTGCCAGAGTTCCAGTAGGAGGCTGCCCTTCCTTAGGTTTGCTAGCTTTTGAAGCTTGATTTCCCATCTTTTCTTTTTCCTTTTCATTTCTTTGGTAAAGTCCGTGCTGTCAGATCAGTTTCTGAGGATTTGTATGTAGCGGGTCAAAGTGTGCTGCTTGTGAGCTTTGCACACTTAGCACAAGGTGTCACCTTGAGTCTTTTCAGTTCTCTTGTGTGTCTTGGTTTTCCCTACTGTTGTCTAAAACTATGGTAGGTACTTGGACAGCAATTAAGTAGTCCTGAAACACTTCGATGTGCATTTTGTTTGGATGTAGAAAGAGCAAGCACTATTTTCTGCAACCCCCAGGACCTTTAGTTTCAAAACTTTGTAGGTCCTCCACATGTGACTGTCCTCATGATTTGCCACAGGAGGAATTTAGATAGGCTCATTGTTCTTCCCTGATTACTGATTTAGTAATAGGAGCTGAAGTCCCCTTTCCTTTCCTCACAAGGTTGATTTAACATGTAAACATCAATTTATACAACACAACTTAATAAAAGAAGAATGCGCTTAAACCACATGATCACCTCAGCAGGTGCAGAAAGAATATTTGACAAAAATCAAACAACATTTCATGATGAAAACACAGAACAAAGTGCGCCGGCCACTGTGGCTCTGTTGGTGGGAGCATGGTTCCGTGTATCCAAAAAGGATGAGAAAGGAAAATCGTGGGTCAACCACACACTCATGACATGGATGCAAGAATCAGAAACACAATATGAGCAGACAGGATCCTACATGGCATAGGAAGGAAAGTACATAATATACAATGACTGAAGTGGATTCATCTGAGGAATACAAACTTGATCGAACTTCGGTAAATGAAGTAACAAAACATTCCGCATGATCAGATTGCAGGACAGAATTATGATATCATCAGAAAAAATAGTAAGTATAAATATGCAATTGTGGTGTACTTTTTACAATGTCACTGAAAAGTAGGGATTACTGAGGCATGATTTACACACAAGGTCTTCTGAGTCCTCATAAATGCATATTGTCACAGAGCCACCACCACCACCAAAATATAGAACATTTTCTTCACCCCCAAATTTCTCCCTTCTCTCAACCCCCAGACCCCAACAACCACCAGTCTGTATCTGTCCCTACAGGCTGGCTTTCTCAGAATGCCCTGTGATGGACTCGTGCAGGACGTGGACTTTTCCATTTGGCTTCCTTCCCAGAAGGGGACTTCTGGAGGTGCAATGTACCTTTTCTTCCCCTGGGTCCTGTTACATGGCTTGATCACTTCACAGGTATTTGTCCAATTGTAGGTTTCCCAGTAACATCTCGCACCCTTGAAATGGTAAGGCTCTTTAATTGTTGCAAACCTGGTGTGTGATAATGATTTACAGTTTCAGTTCGTATCTTCAGGATCAGTGACAGTGAGCATCTTTTGTGGTGCGCATGGGCCATCGGGATTCCTTCTTCTCCGAATTGACTCAGAGTGGGTGCGGGGCTGAAAGAGCAGGGCAAACCCCAGCACATCTGCCAAAGCAGCCCGCCAATAAATTTCCCAGAGCACCAAGCCATGGGCCGATTTGATCACCCATCATAACAGTAGTTGAGTTGTGACAAAGACCCTACAGCCCATCAATATGACATGTGCTCTCTGGCCCTTTAAGGAAAATGTAGGCTGAACCCCACCATTGACCAAGGGCTTCTGATGCCCCTTCTCCCATTGCGTGGTAAGTCTTGTAGGATAAAGGCTGGCAGACTCTTTGTGTGTGAAGTGCTTTTTTTTTTTTTTTTAAAGATTTTATTTACTTATTTTTAGAGAGGGAAGGGAGGGCGAAAGAGAGAGAGAGAGAAACATCAATGTGCGGTTGCTGGGGGTCAGGGCCTGCAACCCAGGCATGTACCCTGACTGAGAATGGAACCTGCAACACTGGTTCGCAGCCCGCGCTCAAACCACTGAGCCATGCCAGCCAGGGCCTGAAGTGCTTCTTCATCCGGAGGTCCCACCCTCACAAGTGTTGCGCCCGCCACCACAAGGTGGACCCATCTCCCTGCTTTGTGCATGGGTATCTGATGCTCAGTGTTGCGATTCTAGTTGGGAAGAAGGTGCCTGGTCAGAGGAGGCCGGACAGGATATGATGGGAAGAGAGCCCCAGGATACCGGACTCCACTGCCAGATTCAGACCTGCTTCCCGCATCTGATGTAGCGGGAGGCTTCTGGGCCAACCAGAGACCCTCGCCCTATTGGCTAGTGCCTTGAAGCATGTGCATACAAGGGGCATGCTGATTGGCAGCGGGTTTTAGACCAATAAATGGGCTTCAGCCTGGTGTCAAAGGTGAGTGGAACACGCCCATTGTTGCGTGACAAGTCATGCGTTGCCTGTGGCAACCGACACGCAGCTTCCTCAGAAGGCTCAGTGCTCCTGCTGCCAGCCAGCGGACTGTCCCGTCAAGGCCACCTTGACCGGGTAACTGTCTCAGCAGAAGCTGAAGTTTTCACACTTGGCAACATGAGCTCACCCGACGAAGACGAGGGATCTGTATCGAGCGCAGAGGTAGACTCAGAGTGCAGGGAGAGGGCCGGCACAGTAGACCTTCCTTTGGGGTCACCACCGAGCAGCGAGGGTGGGGACAAGGGTGAGGGCGAGGGCGAGGGCGAGGGCGAGGGCGAGGGCGAGGGCGAGGGTGAGGTTGCAGGCGAGGGCGGGTTCCCACACCCCGAGGGCTTCCTGGCCCAACAGCATGTGATGGAAGCAGGAGGGCTAGAGCAGCAGGACTGCAAAGGCCAAATGGGATCTCTGGCTGACTTAGAGGGGACACTCGAGGTCTCTAATGGGAATTCCAGAGGGGCTGACTGAGGGAGATACCCAGGGTGTTCACAGGAGCCCCTCCCAAGAGCCCTGTGACAGGGGAGTGTCCACCATGTGGTTGGACCCAGAGCCTGCTCCCAGTGGTACAGGCATGGTGACCTATGGCTTGGAGGGACTGCAGTTGGCCTCTGGCGCCCCGTTCCACCTCAGAGAGCCTAAGGGAGGCCTGTCCTGGGAAAGCTCCCCAAAATGTGCTAGGTGTACGTCGAAAGCCAGTGGTAGTTACCAGCATCCATTTGAGGAAGGGGCAGATTTCTCCCTGTGGCCCGTCTCCAAGTCACCGGATGAGGTCAGTGAGATGCGCCTGATAAGGTTGATCATTTCTCAGGATGAAGGAGGCCAGGCCAAACCCACCAGCTCCAATGACACACCCGGTCACTCAAGAACCGACATCAGGCAGAAGTTCCTCCTCATGCGGGGCCCTTGCCTGTCCACTCCACAACGACTCACTTCAGGTGTGGAAAGGCAGGGTATTGATGATCCAGAAGTGCCCTCTAAGAAACCAGAGAGTATGATCAGGGGGAAGGCTGAGGGCAGGCCCAGCTACCTGCCCTTAGTTGCTGTTGCAGGTGGCCTGCCCAAGGCCAATCCAAGGAAAGTGTCCAAGCAGAAGACATCTCAGTGGCGGGCCATAGAAGTTGCTCCTGGGAGTTTCTTTCCTCCCTGGTGGCAGAGAGACTCAGGAGGTCTGGAGGATCCAGCCACCTTTCCCCCGATCTCCGATGTGCTGCTGCCTGGGAGGGGCAGGAGGCATTCTTTGGTCCCTTTTGAAACCAAAGAGTCCAAGCCCACTGGCACAGGGCCAAAGTCAATGACATGGAGGAGGAGGGTGTCCAGGCCTGTGGTGGGAGAAGAAGATAAGGAAGAGAAAAAAGATGGATTCCCAGAGAGCCAAGTGAGTATCAGGCCATGCTCCTCCCTGGTTCCCATCCTTCTCCTGCCCAGCCCTGCACATCTTTACCTATGTGTCCTCTGTCTGTTACTCGGAGGTTGTTATTGGGTGCCCTCCATCATTAGAATGCCCGATCAGGGTGGTTTTAGAATGGCAAACCTTAAGACAGCACTGCTTGTGTCGTGGGCAACATACTGCACAAATGGTCAGTTTCCTAGCCTCATCCACCAGAGAGTGGCCAAGATGGCAGGCATGGCTGGGACAGTGGATTAGGATCAGGGACACTTTCAAAGTTTGGGCTGCAAAAGTTAGGTATATGGATGCATCAGCTGCCTGACTCCTACCTCATAGGTACTCCCCAGCCTCCCTTGCAGGGGGCCTGCTTTCTCTGCACCCCACTGTTCTCTCCAGCTCAGCTCTGCCTCCTGGCCCAGGGCTGCCTGAGGGAGGATGTGCTGAGGAGCTCAGTCTCGGAACTGCCTTTCCTCTCCCCTGCCCCCACCCCAGCCCCTACACACACATAAGCACACACAAGCCCACACTCACCCATGTGTACACATCCTGAGTTCAAATCAATGGGGACTTTTTGTTTCAGTCTCTGACACAAGGGCAGAGACTACCCTTTCCTTGTGGGCATCATGGACCAAGAGGCACTGGCACCATGAACAACAGACACACCCAGGATCTGGCACACTCAGAGCCCTTGGCACTGCTTGGGGAAGAAGTCTTGGCCAGTGGGCCCGCACCTTCCAGTGAGTCCCATGAGTTTGCTGGGAGTGGAGAGGACAGAAGACAAGGAGGGAAATGTCTGCCTCTGCCTCTACCTATGGCTGTGGCTCTGCCATGACCTCAGCCTTCTCCCTCCCTCCCTCCCTAGCCAGACAGTTTCTCCTATAGAAAACAGGGTGTCAATAGGCCTGGACCCAAGTCACCTCATCTCCTGTGTGAGATTTATGTGCAGGGGGTCATTTGTGGCAGTGTCGCAAACTGCAACTCCAGACCTTGAGTTTCAGCAGAACAGGGCCTTTTCTGATAAGTCCTGTTGGGCCACAGGGGCTCGTCTCCCAGGGGCTGGTTGTGACTGCAGCTCTGCAAGTGTCCAACCCAGAGCCACACACAGTTTTGGGGGCCACAGTCCTGGGTGGGCTGCCCCTGGGACACAGGGAAGGGGGCCCAGAGAGAAACGTGGAGGTACTGGGTAGGGCAGGGGCAACTTTCTGCCAGCAGAGGGAGATGCTGCCTCACCTTAGACTCTGCTAAGCCCTTTCCTCCCTGGGAGCTTTGGAAGCTGTATTTTGTGTTCTTTCCCTCTCAGGTGATCTTGACCTTCTTGAAGAACCTCGAAGACCAAAAAGGTTGCAAAAACCACAGCCACAGCAACCACTTGGAGCAGAGGGTTGTCCTTGGGTAATGCTTCCTCTGGCTCCTAGAAATGCAGGCCCAACCTAGACTATGGGATCTGTCTCTGGGTTAGTGACTCATCTCCCACCCCAAACTCCTCACCACCACCACCCCGTACCTCACGGAGGGTACATGCCTCCTTTTCCACTGAGGAGCCCTAGCAGATCTTGCCCCCTAGATGGGAAGAAGGGGTGTCCAGAGGAGAGGAGGCCTGAGTATGCTAATCATTTCTCTTTCTCTTTTGTCTCTTGGCCTAGTGCTGCCATCTACAGAAGGAAATAAGCTGCTTGAAACAACACTGTGGTATGAGGAACATCTGGCATGGCCTGAGTCAGGGCCACCAGCAGACTTACCATGGGGAGGGTGCGGGCTGCACGTCCCAGGGACCAACATTCCTGTGGGGAGGTGAACCAAGCAGCTTGGCCCTGGAGCCTGCTGTGCATGCGCAGCCAGTTTTCTGGACAAGGAGGAAAAGTGTGGCTCAGAATGCAAGCACACTGTGGCAGCCCCAACCAGTCCTAGAGCTCTCCTTCCCTAGGACGTCTAGAGATGCTGCCTCTCTGATTTTCCCTTCAATACTGCTGGGTATGGCCTCTGTGGGTCTTGTTTGTCTGACAAGTTCTGAGTGGTTCTGATATGCCCCCAAGCTTGAGCACTCCTGGGCACATGTTGTCCTGCTTGAAAAACATGTCCACCTTCCATTCAGGGGGTGGGGGAGTGAGTCAGGCCCAGGGCTCCTTGGGTAGGGTTCTGCAGGGGGTTTCTGTTGCAGGGCAAGACGCCTTGTCCCAGGGACAAGGGGGATGGGCTTCAGTATCCCTCCCTCTGGAATGACTGCTTATGCCTCTCTGTGTTTCAGCGGCCTTGCAGTCCCTGATCGAGAAGCTCCTGAGACATTAATGTGAGTGTTATGCACACCATGCTCTTTCCCCAAAGTGGTGGCTGTTGAGGAGTGCTGTGGGCTGGTGCTGGTGGGACATTCCTTCCTGACTCTGCCCTGTTTGACAGGTGGAACCAGACCCTTCAGCCAAGAACAGCAGTTGGTACCCTGGAGCTGGGGAACCCTGGCCAAGCTGGATTCTTCCTGTTCCACTTCAGCCAGGGCTTCCTCGTACCCTTCTGTTGATTCCTCACCACCTCGTTTGTCAACACTTTTACATTAAAGTCTCCTGAAATTCTGTGGTCTCCGAAAGAAGTGGAGTGTGTGGATGTGGGATTCTGGGCTGGGAGGACCTAGAGCTTCTCCATCTCAGAGCTCTTTGCACAGCAGTAGGCCTGACATTCTGTGGTGGGCTTTTTGCATGCAGGGCTTCGGGGCCAGCATGTGATAGGAGCCCTGCAGTCAGGCCACCTGATGCCCTGGGCCTGGGCTCTGGGTGGCTCTGCCTGGCCACATTGACATTTCCTGCTTTTCCCCTGTAGCCCCTCTTGTGACTCTGTCCTGCTGTCATCTGCATTTGGAGTCTCATCACATTTGTCACTGAATTTTCCCTTGCCTTCAGGAACTCATGACCCCCTTCCAGAGTTCAGTCCCTCTAGCCATCAGTCATCTGTTCCTGGGTGGGTGTTCCATCTGCCCTACATTGCTGTCTGAACATCCTTGATCTCCCCCCAGGGCTTCCCACAGTGGCCTTGTCTGAACCTGTGATTCAACAGGTGTAATAGTGCCCAGTTGAGCTCTTCTCCCTAGTTCCCAGGACCAGTCACTGCGGAGTCCTTCCCTCCCTCTGGGGCCCATGTGCACATGTACACTCACCCAGGAACCTGGGGGATATTTTCCTCCCCTTTAGCTCTCACCTTTGATCCTCAGGTATGAGTCTAGTCAGGTCTTCTCTTGGATTCAATGGAGGGGTGGAGGCAGAAGCCACAGAGCAGGGTCTTCTAGATCAAAGGGGAAGGTTCAGGGATCATGGAGAAAAAAGGGCACACATTGGTCTCCAGTTAAAGGTCAGGGAATCAGTCTTGTGCTAGGTGGTGGCCATGTTCCAGAAGGAGTGGTCACAACCTTCCTGGCCTCCCCAGCCAATGCTCCTCCTGTAGCCTAGTCATCTCCACACCTTCCTGTGGAAAGTAGGCGGCCAGTGTCTATGGTGAAGGCAGTTAGTAGGTCTCACTCTTGTTGAATGGTGCCTTTCAAATACACTTGGACCCGCCTGGGACTCAGGTTTTCATGGCAATGGTAGTTCTGAGCCCCAGTTCAGTCTCCCATCCTCCCCTCTTAGGTCACACAAGGTTGAGTGTGACTCTGTTCAATTTCCCCTCACTGACTGCTGGGAATTGGTTTCTTCCTTCAGCCAGCACCCAGCACCCAGAGCTGTGCGGGCCTGGGACTCAGGACACACTTGTATTTGAGAGGGTTGGGGGCTGGTTCTGCCACACTCCATTCCCAAGAGACTGGTGTTTAATACACAAATGAGGGATGGTGTGGATAGAACACTCAAGGTAGGGGTGTGTGTGTGTGTGTGTGTGTGTGTGTGTGTGTGTGAATAAAACTGACCAAGATAACATCCCTTGAGGAGAAACATGTGGTTGGGGGTAAGTCAGTAGTGACTGTGGTCAAGGCCCTTAACACATGGGGGGAGCAAAAGCAAGTGTGGGATGTACCTTTATCAAGGGGCAGCGTTACATCACCAACACATTGGGGGTGGTGAGTATGCAGAAGTCCCGCCTTCGACAGGCAGGGTGTCCAGAATATGAAAATGTGGGAGTTGGTGGAGGTGGCTGTGGATCATACTTTTTGGACCTATGATGTCTAAGCATTCCTAGAGGCAGGGGGTTAGAAACAGGAAATTTATGTCTCAACAAAAATTGAAAAATTCACAGCAATGTCAAAATTAGACTCTTGAAGAACAAAAAGAAGTCAAGAGAAATCAGAGAGTATGTTGAAACAAGTGAAAAGTGAAGCACAACATGTTGAAATGTATCAGAAGCAGCAAAAGTGGTACCAATGGGGGGAGTTCAGATTCAATAAATACCTACATTAGAAAACAGTGATATAAAAAACCTTAACATTACACCTCGGAGAATTTGAAAAAACAAACTAACCCAAAGGTAGAAGAAAGAAGGCAATTAAAGTTAGAGGAGAAATAAGTAACAGAGTAAAGGAAGAGTGAAGAAACATGAACAAAAGTAAAAGTTAGGTTTTTCCAAAGCTAAGGACAATTCACAAACCCTAAGCAAGGCTAACTAAGAGTAAACTAGAGATGACTGAAATAACACAAATCAGAAATAAAAGAGGAGACATCAAAATGGATGCCTGAGAAATATAAAAGATCATGACAGACCACAATGTGCAATGATATGCCCATACATTGGATAACACAGAGGACATGGTTACATTCCTAGAAGCATACAGTCCACCAAGACTCAATCATAAAGAAATACAAAAAATCTGGATCAGAGCAGACCAAAATGATGATGCATTAGGTCCCAGATTTCCTATGACCCTACAGAGATCAACAAGTGAAGAGCTGTCCCTGAAAAAGATTAAAATAAAAAAAAAAGAAGGAAAAAAAAAAGCGAGCTCTTGGAGGGCTCTAGACTCCACTTCAGAAGTCTTAGCAACACAGTGGAACAAAGGCCCTGGGGATGATGACACAAGAAGAGAAGAACAGCTTCATTGGGCCTGTATCATCCCATCTCCCCAGCAGGCATCATTCAGCACCACAGAGAAATCTCCCGGCTAAAAAGAGTTCCTCTCACCAGGAACTCTGCTCACCTCAGCAGGGGAGCACCCCAACAGCCTTCCAGGATGTCACACAAAGGTCTCAGCTCCATCTCTTCCCATGTAGACCAGCAAAGTGGAGTCATATAGGCCCAGCTGGGAACAAGAAGAAACGCAGGGGTCATTATTAGCAGACATGCAATGGGCACAGTCAGGGAGTGACCTGCTTTGCAGACATACTCAGCAGATTTCACTACAGTTGAAGGCAATGGCCAGCCCCAGAACCATGAACCCCCTGCATATTTACCCAGCTTTCCCCCTGAAAGGTATTTGTATTCTCTTTTTCTAAAAGATTTTATTAATTTATTTTTGGAGAGGGGAATGGAGCGAGAAAGAGAAGGGGAGAAACATCCATGTGTGGTTGCCACTCAAGCACCCCCTGGGGGATCTGGCCAGCAATCCAGACATGTGTCCTGACAGCAAATCAAACCAGTGACCCTTTGGTTTACAGGCCAGTGCTCAATCCACTGAGCCACACCAGCCAAGACAGTATTTGGATTTTCTGATGCCAGCTTCCCGAGTCCCTTCACATACCCTCCCCTCCACACCTGCCAGAGCTTGGGAGCCATGCTGGGAGCCATGCTGGCAGCCAGCTGGGGCCTCAGCAGCTACATGAGTGCAGGACGCCAGCCTAGAGGACCGCTGGCAGACCCTCACTGCCATGCCTTTGGTCAGGGATAGCCCTGTCAGCTGTGCACCCGCACACCATCAGGCTGATGCCCAAGTCTGGCCTCCACTGCAGTGTGCATGCCCAGGGGGAGAGTGTGCAGCCACAGGGGAGCACACCAACAGCCAGGGTCTCTGCACCTGCTTGTGGGCCCAGATAAGGCCCTGCCTTCAGTCCCTGGCTGGCACCAGCATACCCAGCTGTCACCAGACCCTCCATTGGTGCACCTGCACACCCCCAGCCCGAACCCCATCCCCAGCCTCCACTGCAGTGTGCATGCCTACAGACAGAGTGTGCAGGCATGGAAGAGCATGCTGACAGCCAGGGCCTCTGCAGCCACCAGTGAGCCCAGAGTTGGCTCCAGCCATTGCTGCCCACCCTAGTCCCCATCACTATCTGTATCTGCACCTGGCCCCTGCCACTACAAAAGTACCTGCAGCTGGCCCCCACAGTGGACTGTGTGCACAACACTGGCTCTTGCCATCAACACTGCTTGCTCTGGTCCCTAGCCACCACAACTGGAGATGCCACTGAAGACCCCAACAGACCTTGCAGCCACTGCAGATCCCCTGCAGTGCTCAGCCAAGAGCACACATTCGGTGATGCTGTGGACCCCACTGGCTTCAGCTGACGTGGTATCACACACCCCTGCACCCGGTGCTGTTATGTGCCCCCCACACTTGGTACCCTGCAGCACAATACACAGGCCATGCCATGCTCCAGTGTGCCCCAACCCACAGGTAAAAGGCTTCCCTTACTGAAGGCAGTCCCTAGAGTCTGGAAGACATGATTGCTCCTTCAACTACACAGAAACCTATGCAAGGCTACCAGAGTCTTGAATGATCTGGGAAAGATGACTCCACTAAAGCAAAGGGTAAACCTCCAGTAAGTAGCCCCCAAAGGAATGGCAGTCCAAGGAATGGATCTGACAGGGAATGCAAAATAACGGTTCTAGGGTTTCACAGACAGCTACGAGAGAACACAGATAAGCAATACAATGGTATCGGGAAAACAACAAAAGAACAAAATGAAAGTTCAACCAAGAAACTGAGAATAAGAACCAAGCAGAAATTTGGGGGCTGAACAACACAATGACTGAACCAAACAACTCAACAGAAAGCTTTAACAGCTAGCAGAAGAAGGAATCAGTGACATACTGGGGAATATCCACTGAAATTGTCCAATCAGAGGCACGCAAAGAACAAAGAATGAAAATGAATGGAGAAGCCCTGAGTGGCGTAGCTTAGTGGATTGAGCGTGGGCTGCGAACCAAAGCATCGCAGGTTCGATTCCCAGTCAGGGCACATGCCTGGGTTGCAGGCCACGGCCCCCCAGCAACCGCACATTGATGTTTCTCTCTCTCTCCCTCCCTTCCCTGTCTAACAATAAATAAATAAAATCTTTTTTAAAAAGAAAAAATGAATAAAGAAAGATTACAGGGCTTATGGGACACCATCAAGAGAAATGATGAAAGCATTGTCGGAATCCACAAGAAGAGAGGAAGAAAGGGGGAGGAAGTTTATTCAAATAAATAAGGGCCGTAGCCATAATCAGGATGGCAGAGTAGGTAATGTTGTGCTGGCCTTCCCCTACAGCCACAGCACAATTACAACTGATTGATAGAACAGCCACCATTGAGAACCACCTGAAGACTATGTGAACCTAACTCCTGTAACGAAGGTTATCAAAAAGCCACCTGGAGACTGGCAGGAGGGGGCAGAGATAGGGGAATGGGGGTGGTCCCACAGCCGTGCATGGTGGTTGAGAATTGGGAGGGATATCTCGGCGGCAGAGGTCTCTCCTGAGGTGCAAGGGGTCCCAGACCCACGCTGGGCTCACCACCCCAGAGTGCCAGTGCCGGGAAGAGGAATCTCCCCAACATCTGGCTGTGAAAATCAGCAGGGACTCCATCCTGGTGAGATGAAGAGCTGCTGTACCTATAGGAGTCCCCTTCAAGGGCAGGGACTCTGAACACAGATCCAATGGCTCAGAAACACTGGTCCTAAGCTCCACAGAGCTTGCAAAGCACCTGTGGGACTTACGGGGAGGAACTGGGTCATCTGGCTGCAGCACAAGGGCTGAAAGGGCAGCTTTCTCTGGGACCGAGGTGCGGTCAGGGACTTCCGATCTTTGCTGACGGCTCACAGCCAGCGGGCTAGGCGGAAGTGCTGGCAGGCAGGGATGTTCCTTTGCTGAGCCCTTCCCCCACATGGCTCGCAGGGGAAGATGGGTATCAAATCCGAGTCTCCATTAACTTGACTAACACCGCTCACCCAACCCTGGTAATTCCTTAGGACCGTGCCACACCCAACTCACATGCCTAGACCTCTCTCCATGGCTGTTCCACACAAGTGGGACGGCCGCAGCCCGTGCTGCAGAATTTCCCAAAATCTCTCAAAGGTCCACAAACCTCCAGCTTCAGCTTGCCCCGTACACCTCACCAAGTGGCTGCAAGCCTGGCACTAGTGGTGGTCATCCTCGGTTCACAGCATAGCCTCTGCCAGGCACCTTCAAGCCCAGCACCAGCAACTACCAACCACAGAGCACGTTGTAGGTCCTACCTTCTGGCCCTAGGCCAGCACAGGCCATGGCTGACCTTGGCCTGCACTGGACCCCCTCCCAAGATGTCCTGCAGCCAACATGCCCAGTATCAGGCTTCAGAGCACTGCCCCATGAGCTCCACAGACGACACAACCAGAGGGTGCACTGGGTAGGCACCAGAGCCCCACTATAA